TCAGGGTATCAGATAGGGCACTGTCATCGACGTGTGCTGATTTGAGACGATCAATGCTGACGATCCCGACGCGTCCATATCAAACAACCTTGAAGGTCTTTTCGTGACGAGCGATCACGTGAAAAGAGCCTTCGTAAGGTTGTTGCCAAGGTTTGCGTACCGAATCTACTCGTAAGAAAACATGTGAACAGGCAGATAACTCTCGAAAGAGAGCGACCTGTCGATGTTGTATTCGAGTTGACACCGGAGACAGTGTTCGCATAAATGCAGACAGTCGATGGACGTAGTCTGATTTACCGAAATCAGGTCTGCTCCGTGGTGTGACGGATTCTCCGGGCAGACGCAATGTCGTGCCGTATACAAGTTCAGCGGCGGAACATTGGATATCTGCCTTTAAGCTCGTTCTGATCCCTAAAATAACGAGCGGTAAGGTTTCGTGCCAGTTGCCGTTTTCGTGTGCTCGTAGAGCACTTTTAAGTTGGCAGTGAAACCGTTCAACTTAACCACTTGGTGCTGGGTGGTAGATGGATATGATTATGCGTACGCATTCCGTACCAAGCAGCCGGGTCAGCGAGGAGAATCGAATAAAGCGTGGGATTTACCGTCACGCGAATAAAAAGTGACAAGGATTCGGTACACATACGTAGGAGTCTATTATATTAATACTATTCTTATCGTTATCCGTCATGTCGAGTATATTATATATTAAAAGATAATATGAAAATATACGACAGACGTGGATAGATAAATAACAGACTCACCAAATTGGCTTCTTTGGAAGATTTTACCAGAGGTTAAGGCGTATTCCAAACTTTGGGATCACCAATTGTAGCGTGGTGTCGAGTCGAGATTGACTATGTACACCGCTACCAAAATACACGTGCCAAAGAAATCAGAAGGCGAAGGTTGAACGTAACCAGATTTATTCGGTTGGCGATCTCGTGGTATCCAATAAATACCGAGATCGTGCAAAGAAATGGTACAACCGAAAGCAGGAGAATGGAGTACGTGCAAACAGTACCAAAAGCCACGGAACAATGATGGGAGATAATGGAAGCACAAAATGGCTATAATTAGCACAGTTAAACAAAAGCATTTTGAAACAAACACTGGTACAACTGTTTATAATAATAATTGTTTTTATTGTATCAGTCGTGTTCTCGTGACAAATGTAAGTCACTACAAACATAAAAAATATCAACAAAGTTACTAAAGATCAATAGTAATGAAGAGGATACAGGTATTAAATGTTTGACAACGCTTCTACCAGTAACACCTTCTAATATACTAAGTTCCCACCGAGAGAAATCAAAAGACAGTCGAGGAGATCGGAAGAGTGTATTTGGCGATAACCAATATATCGGAATTCTCTGATCTAATCTGGCTAGTGATTGTGGTAGATGTTGAGCATAGCGTTACCACACGTTATCTGGTGCGGATGCACGACCGAGCGCCTTCAGCTAAATGAGTCCACTAAAACATATGGTCAGCATCCAATGTCGAAAACTTACAGAGCTAATTATTTTGGGAATTTATTTACCGCTACAGTAATATTAATATATACCAGTTAGTTGTTACAAATACAATAAAAATTTGGAACGTTACTTAAATTGACCAAATATTGCGTGTTCTGATTGGGTCCAGTATTGTATATCCACAATTATAAATGCTTGGTGATTCTGATCGGGTTGACGAACTATCCAATGATATAATCCAATGTAGGATGTGATATTATTCCCATTACAGACTATAGATATAGATAGTATTTGATTTAGACGTCAGTTAACTCAATCACAAATGGAGATAGAACGAGGAATGTGCGAGAAGCAGTGTATTTGATAGCGAGCAACGGTATGTCACGCTATGTAGTAGCACAAAGGAAAAGTGTGTACAAGTTCATTAACCAAAACAACAGGTACAATCGTTTAATGATAAAATATACAGACAGTGAAAGATTGACAAAATAAATACAAATAATATTAAAAACTATTTCCAAAATAAGCTTGTCAGGCCTATCTCCACAAAGTAACCTCCAATCATCATTCTATTAGGCGGCAAACGCGAATTAATGCAATGGTTATTAGTGTTGTATTTTGTGCTAACGTGGTAAGTATAAAATCACTAATAATTAGTTTATGTACATTACTAAAACGCAAAGGAAGGAAATTTCATTCTAATGCAGAATGAACTATCCTTGGTAAATTCTAATAAGTTATTAATGCTCAGCGTTTACATGTTTTCATCTAGCTATTGTAACATAGGAAAATTATTTAGAATATATGATAAGTTTACAAACTAGTAAGTAATCTGACATCTGGTGTTTCGATTGATCTTAGTTCATCATCTGCAGATTTTGCATCTGCTTTATTACGTTCGCTTTAAGCAATACCCGTTTAATTGACGACTAATGATTTCAAATAACCAGTCATTCACAACGAACGCAGAATGTTGATTTCTAGTAATATAAGTTTAGTGGTTTACAGATCGTAAACATCAAATCGTTTTTTCCATAGCATAAGTCTGATATAATTATCAGATGACTAAGATCAAAACAATCATTTGTTACCAAAGTGCCGTGTAAATTTGTTACAATTTCAGTGAATATAGGGAGATTAAGTTTACTGGTGTCTTGGATTAATCAACCAATTTTCTATGAGTTCATCCTCTTCAAAATAACGTACTAGTAAAAGCTCTTTTCTAATTTTTTACGCTAGACGTTTGGTTTTACTTTGATATAATTCCTACACTAATTTATTCTCCTTAAATTTTATGAATGTGACACTTCTTTCACCATGAAATCAATTTACATTTTATTCAGTGAAATTTTAAATGAAAAATATAATTTTCTAATAGTGTTATTATTTGTCTAACGATTTTACATTGTATGTATAAAAATAACTTGATAACTTTTGATTATCATATTGCCCATTTGGAATTACATCAATATAGGTACATTTATTGGGTAAAGCTGTAGCATCTGCATTATCAGGTTCATCAGCAATCATATCATCTTTGTTAGATAGTTGCGTCGATTTGACTTCCGATGTAATCATGTGGTTTGCTGCTCGTCAAATGCGTAAAAGGAAGCTATACAAATTTGGTTTAAAAATATTTTAACTGATCATAAAATGATCTACGGTCTGTAGGCTGGTTAATTCAAACTGTTGTTACAGTTGTTTTAAATGATCTTTTAAATACGACATGCAGTATGAATGACTCTCAAAATATGGACTGGTGAATGATGTGTTGGAAGAATTCTGCACATTTTAAACATTTGTCAACATATAACTTTTCTGCGACTAAATTTGGCAATCTTTTAGCGTTCTCGTTTATTGAATGTTGTTTTATACATCGATATTAATTCTCAAATAATCACTTCATCTAGTTATCGAACAAAAGTTGTGAATGTATTCGATTCTTAATAGAACACCATCATCTATTTACTGTTAGTATCTATTTACAAGCCTTTACATAATTAGACTGATTACTTCCGAAACCACTGAAATGTTCAGATATAGTATGAAGAAAGAATAAGTAACACATCAAAGTAATTTGCTTCTAAATTGTTTAAGAAAAAGTGTACATCTTTCGGTAACTAGTTACCAAATTTTAACAAAATGTAAAATCAAGTTATGAGTCCAGTCACCAAGAAGTTATAAACAGTGACATCCGATAACAAAAATTATCGCAGTCACATTGAAGTGAACGCGAACTCATGTGAGGTACACCAATTGATTGTCTAATGCAAACTTACAAAGTGCCTTCGAATAATATGAAAACGATACATTGAATACATTATTTGCACCTTTTCCAGTTGTTCTTGCTGTTTTCTTTAATTTAATCTCCTCAACCCGTTGCTGGCAGGCATCTCATTACCGATTGCTCCTACATGCTGCTTGTACCAGTAAGCGTAAGTAACATGCATCACAGCATGTTGGTAATCATATGTTCTCTCTATTCAACGTTGATAATGATAGGGTATGTGGCTAAATTGCCAGTCTTAGGTATTTGACTGCATGAGCTCTTAAATGGTTGAAAGTGAATTATCATCATCATCATTCAGCTATGTTGTTAAACCAGATGATTGTAGTAATTACTAATTTCTAAGATACTTATTATTCATGCTTTACAGTTATTAAATTTACTGAAATATTTATCAATCTTTTTTATTCTAATGTTAGGGTTTCGAAAACCATATAAATGTGAAAGAGGAATAACGTCTCTAAAATGCTGTTATTTTATTTCCTTCTTAGAGAGAACACGACTTGAACCATTAGCAGCGATTGTACTCTCTATATTTATGGCTAGTATATTTATACAACTTCTAGCTGAATCTGTACAAGCCATTGTTCGTATGTCACAAAATAATCAAGAGGCACCAAACGTTAGTGATTTAGCATTGGGAATAATTGGCATCCGTAATTGGTAAGAATTATATTTAATGTTCATAAATTGTTTTCAAACTTCATTTGAAAAGCTGTGACCTAGACCCACAAGATACTTGTTGACTAGTAGTCAATATTTCATTCACTTTACCTATTCTCAATTTAATTGTCTTATATAGCATAAGAAATATAATCAGAGAGTTGAACGTATCCACTAAGTCTCTTTTGTCATATTTTTTGAAGTTACTATGTCATATCATTTTTTCTTCCCTACTAATAATAATAATTCCCATTTGTTACTTGTGGTCATATACACTATTCCTCTGTCGATTGAGCTTATACGAATTTACAAAATATTGTAGTTAGTTTTCTGTGTTAAATTGAATTATTATAGGAATGTTGTGCACAAAATCACATCCATAAAACACTTTGTCTATAAAAGTTAGTGACTATGCGAACTATTTAAAATGCATGAGATGTAATGAATTTTCACTGTGTCATTGAAGAAGAAATATAGCCAATGTATCAAAGTAACTCTGTTTTGTGGCGATATTACTTACTGAAGCTGTGTAATCATATTTGTAGTTCATCAGTAAATTATATTAGTATACTTCGTTCACAAAGAGAGCTCTTTATAATTTCATTTTCGAGCATTACTCTGGTCGGTTATCAAAGGGACTATTCCGAATTACTAATGAGCTATTATCAAATGTAATTATTCTGGTTTTCATATTCATCAAATGCAGAGTCATCTCACTCCAATAAAATATTCTTATGTTGACATTTTTCATTAGCCGTTACATCGTTGCACAACATCACTTTTGTATTTAATGTTTATTAACAATTTATCACTCAATACTACTCAATGTTTACAATTATTTTATATTCTTCAAGTTAACAATTATCTTTTATCAGTAATCTATTTTTACTTTGATCTGTTACATACTTTTTTTATACTTCAGAAAACCATATATACATAGCTTACAAAATATTCAAGTAATCAGGAATCAAGTGTAATTATGGATGGTCAACGTGTGCGTATGAACAAATATTAAGGGACGAAAATACCCTCTGAAAACAATTTATAAACAACATCTCAAATAATTTAACATCAAATATCCATCCACCACATGTATCATGATTTTCGGTATCGACCTGATCATGTCTGTAAATGACTACGGATTCTGTGGAGATTTTCAAAATGTATTACATTTAAGTAGAATGAATGTATACAAGCGAACACAATATGCCAACAAGTGTTTATAGAATTGGTATTTTATATCTATTTAAGGACTTTTGGATTTTGCTTGAGGGTCGACTTGACGTTTCGACTTCCAGAAGAAAGCGGATTGTTTTCCTAAAACTAATGTCAATAATGCTAGCCTATGAGTCAGATTTACGAGGCAGCAAGGATACGGTGAAAATTTCCTTTCTATAGTAGGTGGTGATTAAGGTAGATTTAGAGTCATATTATTCTTTTTATTTTATAAAGCCCATGTGGACTGTTAGTTTAAAAATGATTCTCTTCTGTTTACCAGCCTAGGACATTTAGCCAAATGTCAAGTTGAGGGCTAAGAATAATTAATCATTTTCCATCTGGAAAACGTGTTGAAATTAACCAAGTTGTGATCAGTTTACAATATACCTTATTAGACCCGTGGAATAGGTGGACAACCGTAATAATATAGTGTTGTACATACCAAGCCAGTAGCTTGTTTCATCAGCTATGACGTTTCATTGATGTTGTTGTACGAGGTCTTTTCACTCGTATGCCTTCTCTGTCATTTCTAACTACGTCTTCTTGTTTTGCCTAGACATGTCCTAAGAATTTTGTGTTCAAATGTAGGTTGTATATAGCTTATCCACCTTTTTAATCATGAGTCTTAGTTATTGATCGAGAGTAAGGTAGATATCATCCAAATTTCCGAATTGAAGCAAATTAGGTAGTATAGCTATTCTAATCAATTGTGTAGTACGTGGTCCAACCATCTGAGTCGATGAAGACTCACAACCTCACCAACTGATTTACCATCATTCCCTAATACCCTGCATCTAACGTCACTAATACTTACCCGGTGATCCCAGCAGATGCCAACAATGTTTCTAAGGCATCTGTGGTCAAATACTACTAGCTGATCAAACTCTCAAGGTAGGTGTTGTCGACATGTTCGACTACTTCACTCTCTATAATTAGTTCAGGTGGTGACGCAGGCCAGACCTAAAGCAACAACTAGCATTTAGAGGGAGAGAAGCGCATCTAAAACATTCTTGCATTGTTGTTCATTGGTACCAAAAGACTCTGCATTTTAAAGGCGTCTTCACCAAACAGGACTATATCATCTGCGTATTCTAAGTTCATAACTGGATCTCCTGCTATGAGATCAATGACTGAAAATTCAGTCGACGGGGACGTTATTTCCATCAGTAGGTCTATGATGCAGTTGAAGAGAAATGGAGAAAATGGACAGATTCGACGGACATTACTTAAGGTTACGAAAGCAGATGACATTTCGCCAAAAGCTCTGACTCGACTAGTAGTGTTTGAGTAAAGAGTCTGCACGAGGTTCATGTACTTCTGAGGTACGACTTTCAATGACAGAAACTGCCACAGAATCTCGTGGTCTACAGGGTCAAATGATGCTTTTAAGTCAAGAGAGACCAACACTGTAAGATGTCGATAAGCATGCCTGTGTTCTAGAACCTGACAAATGGTGAATATGTGGTTGATTCAACCACGACCAGGTCTGAAGCCAGCTTGATTTTCACGCGTTTGCACTTCACGCGTCTTTATTAGGCGTCAGGCATTTATTGAGGCTAGTATTTTAGATGCTGTGTTTGTCAAACTGATTCCTCTATGGTTGTTACAGGATGATTTTGACCCCTTCATATATATTGAGACAATCAGTGATTGTGACCAGTCAGATGGGATTACGTCCAACTGCCAGATTTTAGCTAAAATATTAGCCAACCTAATCGCTAAAGCTGGACCACCATACTTAAAGACCTCTCAAGCCAATCCAAATTGAACAGCTGCTCTTCCGCATTTCAGATTAACTTTAGCGTTTTGAACTTCAATTACAGTCGGGGACTTAATTCAATGGTCCATTGTGACTGTTTGGAAGTGGTGGGTGGTTGTCGAATAGCTGTCATACGTCTGTACAGTCAGTAGTAAGATTTCGCTCTCGGGGACTCACTTCGCTGATTCTAGTGTGACCGATCTTCAACCAAGCTATCTGACATGGTAAGACCTTTAGGTACGTTTGGTACAGCCAGTATAGCTCGATTGGTTCATTACGATAAGGAAGCTCTCTTTCCAGAAACGACGAGTCAAACCTGTTCGCATAGCAGCTATAGTGATAATAATGATTGGAATAAATTTGACGATAGTTCGAACACCTCAGAGGTGTCACCTGGTAGAACAAAGCTATCTAACTGTCAATTAAAAGATCCCAACCCTACAGAGAATTCTCTCTCAGCACCGCCAACAGGTTCGAAGCGGCGAAAGCAAATCTTTCCTCCTCGTGCTGATAATTCTACTGATTCTCATTGTGTTGTACAAAGTGAACACGAGAAGGCCCGTATTTAACACAAAAGTAGGATAGGAAATGTGGAGAGATAGAGAAATGTGGATATGGCGTTAGTTCTTCTTGCACAGTACCGAACCAAAATGATGGTCATGAGTTATCAAGTGTCACTTTAACTTCATTGCCTGTCAAAATAACGTCTATCGAAGAATTTCAATCAGGGACACCAACTATTCCTGGAATGCACCAGATACATTGTCAACGTAAGATATGTAGTGACTCACATTTATCACGAGAACACGAATGGGTTAATAAAAACAATTATTATTATGACCAACCGTACCAGTGTTTGTTTTAATGTGCTTTTGTTTAACTGTGCTAATTACAGCCATTTTGTGCTTCCATTATCTCCCATCATTGTTCCGTAGCTTTTGGTAATGTTTGCACGTACTCCATTCTCCTGCTTTCGGTTGTACCATTTCTTTGCACGATCTCGGTATTTATTGGATACCACGAGATCGCCAACCGAATAAATCTGGTTACGTTCAACCTTCGCTTTCTGATTTTTTTGGCACGTGTTTTTGTTAGCGGTGTTCATAGTCAATTGGGACTTGACGCCACGCTACAACTGGTGACCCAAATTTTGGAACACGCCTCAACCTCTGGTCAAATCTTCCAAAGAAGCCGATTCGGTGAGTCTATAGTTCATCTATCCACGTCTGTCGTATATTTTCATATTACCTTTTAATATTTAATATACACGATATGACGGATAGCGACAAGAATTGTATTAATGTTATAGACTAAGACGTACAGGTCATTCACTTTCGACCACCTCACGCGCCTACAATCTCTTGCGGGACCAGCAGCATCTGACTCGGAAATAGTTAAGGAATTATGACTCAGTCATTCCTACTTATGGTACACGACAACTCGCGGTCAACCTGGGCAAACGACGACGGTATCTGTGGACGTTCATCATTGCTGATGTTTCCACAGGTATACTAGGTATCGATGTCCTACAACACTATGAGGCTGAAGCTAATCGATACTTCGTCGAACAGCAAATTCATGGGCTGTAGAGCCCACATGAACGCGTACCGAATCCTCGGCACTTTTTAATCGCGTGACGATAAATTCCACGCTTTATTCGAGAAATTCCCCGTATTCACTAAACCACTTGAGGAGCTTCCGTCGGTGACCAATCGTGTGGTACACCACATAGTCACCCGCGGACCGCCAGTCACGGCAACACGTGACAGTTTGATCCTGACCCCACGTGACCCACCGACCTTGGCCCCTGGGGAGTGACAACACTAGCGAAATCTTATAACGGATCTGAGAGTTTCCTTAATTTATTAACGGAGCTGAGAACTGAGGAACGCAAAGTTTTTATGAAAAGACACGTGAGTGAAAAAAAATTTTATTGAACAAAATTTGAAAAACGTAATGCAGCATCATTAATACTATGATTCTCTGGTACAAGAGTTTGTTGTTGCATAAACATGTTAAAGGG